CAAACTTGATATGATACTGAGGGAAGAGAATCAATGGTTTTTATTGATTTTTGCCCCCCCCCCCCATTTTTACCGTAATTTTCTTTGGCGTATTTAGTCATTCTCGAACGTAATTCTAAGTGATTTTCTGCAGCATAGATGAGAAGTAAAGTCAAAATGTTGCCCACTTTACGACCCGGATTTTCCCTAATCTTCGCAAAAAACCTGGAATAATTTTGCAAAAATCCCCAAATTTAGGTGTTTGAACTTTCTCCATGTCCCTAGCCCAAATTAGGCCCGGACATGAATAGCAAGTGTATGTTTTTGCTTTTGCTAATGGATGCAGACTGCACTTGAAATGCTATTTACGTCTAATGCAATACCCCAGAGGGATGACCGCGAATCTATTGAAAACAATCATGATTAAGTGGTAAATTTAGTTACAAAACACATCCTACAGCTAGAGCTAGTACATCCCCAATTTAGTAAGAGTAAACTGAAAAGGTTGCTAAGAAACCCCTCGGGCGAAAATCTATTACACATCGTTTAAGGGCTTCTTTCAATCAGAAACTCTCATCAAAGTCTAACAACCAACCCCTCAGGCGCAGATATAATATATTTATTTTCGAGCGCAATAAAATTACGAAATATCTACTTAGCTGAAAATAATTACGATTATCAAAGTCTATATACCCCGAGGTAGAGCTAGTCTTTGGACCCGCGTTAGACAGCCGCGTTTATTTACGATCGATGCGGGAGCATAAACTGGATTGATAGAAGACAAATAACTTGTTTATAGGTTTCTTTAGATTGGTTTAGTCCAATCTGAGTTGGTAGTAAACAAGCCAATCAGAATTCTATTGAATGAGTTAGGGCTTTGGAGACGAAGGTCAGTCGGTCACGGAATACTCTTAACCTTATATGCTGAACTTTCTCAAAAGAATCTGCGTTTTTCTCAGGGAAACTGATTGGAACATCTCAAGTGCTAAATACTGCTCGAGTAGCAATTCATATGATGCATTCCTGGCCGAAAAAATTAACTTTGAACTCCTGCCCAGACAGTACTTTCATTACCGTA